TGCTTTGGCAGAGCACAGCAGCCAGGCTGTGCCCCCGCCCAAGGGGCGCACTGAGAGGGCCATTGAGACTGAGGGTGGTGATGCAGGCCTGTAATCCCTCACTTCTAGGGAGGCTGAAAACAGGATCATTACTATGCGTCTGATTTATGTGGTGAGATCCTGTCGACCCTGTCCTAAATACAGAAAAAGAAAGAAAGAGAGAAAAAAAAAAAATGGAATGAGCATGACCCAGGGAGAAAAATTATAAATTACTTCCATCTTTTCTTGCTATTTACATTTACTAATTGAGGTTATCTTTTTCTCTATCTTCCGTTTTTGAATACAAATTCCAGCTATTTTTTTGTTGTTAAGTGACATAAATTACTCTGAGGAACTAAATTACTCTGTCATTTAATAGTAAGAACTTTAAACTGTACTCTTTGGCCGTCTCTTAATTGGAAGCTTTGGAGTCAAAATGGGAGTGTAGGGGGCCCAGAAGATAGCTCAGTGGTCTAAGGTGCCTGCTTAGGCAAACTTAGGCAGGCACAGGGGACCTTGGTGAATCCCAACACCACCTGCTGCACCCACCTTCAGGGCAGGCTCTGCAAGCCAAAAACAAAACAGCAACAACAACAACAAAGTGGAAAATGTGTGTGTAGTCAGCTTCTTCTTTATTTTATAATTCCATATTCCATGTTTTAGAGTGTCTGATACCCCAGGGTTCAAACAGAACAAGTGAGACTAAGTAAAGGAGAAACTAAAAACTCTTTACATGTTTAATTTTGGGGGAGATCCTTAGAAGCAAATCAGGGCTTTGTGTATGCTAAGTGCATGCTCTACCACTGCCCTACAACCCCCGCAAGTTTCTTTGTCACTTGTTGGATAATCTCAGGAACTGGTTTTGTATCTCACTAGGAATTTTCAGCTGGTTTTTGTGTGCATGATTTTTTTTTTTTTTTAGTTTAAAAAAGACTCATCCATCACACCAGTGGGATTTCTCACCTTTGTTCATCCAGGAAAAATGGACGCTCCTGGACACTGGACATCTAACTGTGTCTCCAGGTTCTTTGTTTATCACTGTTGTTTACACTTATTTTTTCAATTTTTGCAATTACTAAGTAACCCCTGTCTTACACTTTAACTTCTCAGGTCTGAATTTAACACTCTGCATGTTTGTTCTTCCAAGCAGTTTTGTTAAATTCTTTTTCCATTAACTTTGAGCTTCTTTGTTGAAAAGGCTTCAGAATTAATAAATTATCAGCAGTTCACCCCAATAGTTCCCTTCTTTCCCATTACAGTATGATTTAGCTTCTCCAAGTTCTCCTAGGCTTAGCTGCAAGCATGTTCACCTCTGGATCTAAGGTATTTGTTAAGTTCTCCATATTGATTTTAAAAATGCAATGTCAATAATTTTGAAGCCACAGTGGTTGCAATCATGATACTTTAATGTTTTTATACTATCTGCCTTGATACAACTTGTCACTTATTTAAAATCATAATGTAGGATATATTCTAAACAATTATAATTATATACATTATATATTAACATGACTACATATTATATTCATAACATTTTGAATATAATTACAATCTGAAAAATCTTCTCCTGTCCCTCTCTTGGACAGGAACTTTCTTTCCCTCAATAAATATATTCTGATCAAAAAAGAAAAGAAAATCTCAGTAACAACAGAGGTGATTTTCAAAATACATATTATAATTGGCGTTTTTCATTTATTCCTATACCATTTTCCTCCCTTTAAATATACTTACTCAATGTCTAATGGAAGATGGGATGTAATGATAGAAAATGGAAAGTTGGTTCATTTCCTTATAGATTTGCAGTGTGTTTATCTTTCATGGAGCACAACTGCTAAATACTTGCTAAGACCTGATACCGTTAACCCATTAACAGGAATGGAGAACCAATAGAGATTATAAGAAAAGCACATGATACCTGAAATAGTCAGTAAGAGCCTCTAATTGATCAGAAAATGATGAAAAATAAAACATACAGCATTCCATCTACCAATACTTAGCATAAACAGAAACTTGCAATGCGAAATGTGGTTAGCATAACTGAAGAATGAAAAACTTGTCTTTGAATGCGATATTAATCACAGAAAGTTCCTGTAAAAATGTTTGAGCCAAGAGTATTATTGTTTAAAGAAGAAAGATTGTTGTCTCAATTAAAAAAAAAAAACAACTATGGCTATTAGATGAAGTTTCATCATGACTCTGTTAGGTCATGGAATATTACCTATGGATTTAAGTTCTGGTGTCAGAATATTGCTAGCTAGCTTTAAAATATATCTCATTCAGTTGATTCTTTAAAGGGAGCATACAAGCTTTACTGCCCTGCAGCTTTCCTTCTGAAGAGAGTAATACTATTAATCACACATTTTAAATTTTAAAATCAGTTGCCTGTTTGTAATGAGGACACAAGTGAATTTAAACAATAATTGCAATGCTGAAAGAAATCTAGCAAGGTAAAAAAAAGGAGATAAAATATCACGAAAATACATGTAGTTTAGTTACTAAACAAAATTCATACTAAAAAGATCAAAATTCATACTAGAAAGATTTCGTTAGTTAATTTTCTAATCAATGAGACAAAATATTTGACATTTAAAGTTACAGAAGGAAAGGTATATTTAACTCTAATTTATGGAGATTTCAGTCCATAATCCGCTGTCCCCAAGGGTGGGTGGCACATGGCAGAGGGGCATCACAGAAGAGAAACAGTTCATGGAGGGCAGCAGTGTAGCCAAAAAGCAGCAAAGCAGTGAGTAACAAGCAAGACCAAGCAGCACCCTTTATGACCTTTATGAGGATATGTACTGTTAGGATGAGTAGCACTCACTCAGGGCAAGGAACTCTTAATCCCAACCAGAACTATCCCAAACCAATCTGTGGACTAAGCTGGCGACCACACACCCTTGATCTCAGCATCACACTGTATACCCAGCTACCTCCGTAAAGCCCCACCTATAGCCATATGAGGCTTTTGGGCGACATGCAGACATAGGCCATAACACTATGAATCAACATAAAATTTAATTCTAAACTTATTGCAAGACAAGGAAAAGAGAAAAGTAGACTGGGTTGTAAGATGTATTGTCTACTTTAGTTAAAAGTTTGTAGGTGCCTCAGGGGAAAAAAAAACCTAATTATTCTTAATATAAAAGAGAATTAATCACATAGATTTAATTTCATAAGAAACTTTTGGAATATAGAATGGATGTCCAAAACAGAATCGACAGACATGGATAGCTTATCTATCTATGAATAGAAAATTGTTGGATGTTTACCTACTGTGGTAAACACAATTTAGAAGTACATGTATGTTCTTTACTTGTTCTTCTTTTTATTTTCAATGAAATCTCCAAACCAGCTAGATCGCACATTTACGACTCTCTTTGCCCTTTTCCTGTTTCCGCCTGTTCTCTAGGGACTTAATCCCTTTAGACGAGTTTCCCAGATTCTGAGCCTGCCTCCTGCTCTATTTAGCCAATAGAATAATTACTAGAGTTCTGAAAATCCAGACTCAGGGAGATGCTGTGGTCTTCTCACGCTCTCTGTCTACAGTGGAGTGTCCAGCTGAGCCCATGTCCTTTCTTCCACTTGTGTACAAAGGAAGTTCCAGCTTCACCAAACCTCCAGCCTAGGCTGAGTATGACTCCAATTCTGGACTTTCTCTGCATCTCTTGATTATTTTCTCATTCTTTGTTGCCAAGGGGATTGTATGTATCTAATTTAGAGACCCTCCACTTGAAATATACATAAAGTTTTCTCTTGCATCAGTTAGATTAACCCAATCAATAATCATGAGATAATGGTGTATTTTTAGCTCCATTCAATATAAATAATTTTATATTGGCAAATATATGAGGAGCCCTTATCTACATATTATATGTCAAAGAGTGCATTAAAAGTGAACAGCAAACATAATAGTGTGCAGAAAACACATTCCTCATGGACTCATGAATTATCCACATCCACAAGTACAGGATTAGAGTTCATCAACATCATAACACCTGATTCTTCAGCACACGCATTAGGTAACGAGTGCTCAGTAGACTTGCTTTCCTGAGAAGATTCCCAGAAATGTGCCCACGTCAACATTAAGAAATCAGTGTAACCCCCAAAAGAATATCCTAGGGAAGAGTACTTCTGGACTCTTTCATCCTACAAATGACAGACATGACTCACCAGGACTTGTCTTTTCTCTACAAATATGAAAATTATATGTGGAAGTGATATCTACTCTTCACTTTCCATTTCTTCATTTCATTATGGAAACCAGGAGACTGTTTAAAGCTCAGAATGGATGTCGATAATGTAAAAATTCTTGCAAGTTATACACAAATTATGTGACACCAATAAATTTCTTCCAAGAACTCAGAGTTAAAGCCTGAATAAGAATAGATTTTTTTTAATCACTTGACTTTTAAATAAACTATTTCTGGCCAAGTGGATGATATGGAAAGTCACCTTGAACAGACTGAAGAGCCTTTAGAAGGGTTTGATGTGTCAAACCAGGAATGTTTACATATACAGTGCTCACTGAGTGACTCAAGAGACCAAATGCTACTAGTGCACACAACAGCAACTGGGAACAGTTATCTGAGCCCATGAAGTGTGTCTGTTTTATTCTGATATCATGAACATTTCCAAACTCATGGCTAATGCTCTAGTTATTATATGTATGTCCACATCTTAACTTGGCCTTACTGTGTTTCCTATGAAAATGCATTGGCTAGAGTGCTTTGTCTCCATCCTAATCACAGCTCTTATTATCACTTGAAAAGAAAAAGAGCATTACAAATCTGTATTGCAGAAGCATACATCTGAAAGAACATGCTCCCTCTGTGAAATTTATTGACTTGATGTGCAAGAAAGTTATATTTCTCACTTTGTAGAGCAGATCTAAACAATGGCCAAAAACATTAGCTTAATATCCCCAGATGAAATTTTATTCCCATGGACTACGTTCTATCAGCATTCATTTTTGGTCCACCTACCTGAAAGACTTCTTGATATCTTCTGCTTGGATTGTCTTGAGAATCTCCTGGTATAACTGAGGATCAAACGTGCCTGCAGATGTGGCATTGGAAGGGCAACTTGTATGTGCATAATAACCTATCAAAATTCCAAGAACAAATAAAATGGTGGCTGTGCAAAATATTTTTAGAAGGCGGCAAAAATTGCAGCAGTTGTTCTTTGGTGCAGATCTTGTATAGTGGGCAACATAGTCAGAATCTTCCTGTAGTCGCTGGAATCTTCCTTTGGGTGAAGTTGCTGGCTGAATGGAATCAAGATTGAGGTCCACAGACTCTGAGTGGCCCAGGTTTTGATTCTCAGAACTATCAAGTTGGAACTGGTCAAAACCAGGTTCCTCCAGTTCCTTCTCCATATCCCACTCTAAGTCAAGGGCAGTGGCTTGAAGGTCATCATTGTCTAAGTACTGTGAGTGTCCGGATGCTCTTTGATCTGCACTGATCTTCTGATAGGCCATCTTTTTACCTGTGAAAACAAGAAATATAATTTCTTGTGAAAACAACCAAGATACCCAATAAGCCATACATTTTTAGTGATTATAATCAAGAGAAATACATCCTCCCCACAGAAGGCCATATTTAAGATAATCATTAAATCCATCTTTTTTGCTTTGTTCTGTTTTTGGTACTAGGGATTGAACTCAAGACCTTGGGCTTGCCAGGTAAGTGCTTACGCCATTGAGCTATCTCCCCAGGGCCCTAAGAAAATCATTTAATCAGGTTTTCCGGTTTTTATAGAAGTAAGAGAAAAAAATTGAAGAAATTATACTAATAAATAATGAAATTTTGAAGTTCAAGAGATTAACAGAAATCACAAATTGCATTTAGAGGAAAATGTATTACCATGAAGGCAAAATTAGTCTTACACATTTCAAAACAAGTTTTAAAAATTTAGGATAAAAACAATATAAAGTGGTGACTTGGTAAATTAGGTAGAAAAGGTAAAAGATATTGAGGCAATTATATTATCAGAGCTAACTTTCAAAACACAAATCCAAGATAAGAACAAGCTGATTAGATAGATACCCAACCTACAGAAGTATAAGAAACAAAATATGATAGTTTAAATAGTCACAAGCTGCTAATAAAGTGGAAAATATTAAGGTTATCAGAGAGCACTGAAGTATCCCAAGAAATTCATGACATGAATTGGCCTGGCCCAGTGAACTTTAAATAAATGTTCTGCATGGCATCAACCCCAAAAGGAAATCCTTTTAGCAGCCGAGACGAGCTTGATCACCTCACAACAGAAGTGGCAGATGGAGGGTTTTCTCCCCTACAAAGTTTTGGATGACAGTCTGTTATATCCTGCAGAGTAGTGTTAGGATAATTGGGCTAATTAACGGTAAGTGGTCTTAAGTCTGTTTTCAGTAGCTCCCTGATATATTATGGCTACAGGTACAGGGTATTTATACTTAGATTTTTCTCTGTATTCGATTTTTCACCCCAGTTAAATGCGAAGATCTCCACAATGTTTAGAAATTTTTATGTCTATCCCACTGTGGTGGGTAAAGAACAGCTCAACTGATAATTGATTAGCTAATTGCTCAGGGCTAATGATTGACAAATGAGCTCTAGTGAAAAATAGAACACGAACTTTATGAAAAAAGTGACTTTACTCACAAAAGTTTGGTTATCTATAGCTGGCTAACAGAAGCCTCATAAAGTGCAAGATTCTGAATTTCTTAGTTCAAATACAATGAAATATTAAATTTTGCAAGACAATTATAATTATGACTAATATTCATGCTACCTTGTAATCCAGGGTTGATTATTACCCAGGATTGCCTCAGTAAAGGTGAGGAATCCCTGCATGTAGACACTGAGGGAGGCAATATAAACAAAGATAAATAAGTTACCATTCTTCAAGGCAGAACAATCCAATCAGAAAGAACACATGAACAGGAAGTCAAATGTAGTACACAAAGATACAGTGTAATTTGTAGAATATTTACTATAGAAGAAAATATGACACAAGACTCTTCAAGAAAGTGACCCGAATTCCTCTTGGTGATAGCAAAGGAATGAGAGAGAAGAGTAGTACGGCAAGGAGAGTGAGAATGGCCAGATCAAAAAATGTACAGGGGAATGCTTTGGCTGTGTACGAAACAGAGATGCTGCAGAAAAGACAGGAATAAGGGACAGCAGTGGGATTAATTTCTTTGAACCCAGGACCTTCATCTATGAAGTGGACATCATGGTAACATACACATTATAAGCCTCACCAGAATATCCATAGGATTAGTCGTGACAGTGACTCTAAGGCATCCATTGAATAGTCAATAGGCTATATGAGTTAATAGTCAATAGGCTATAGGAAAAACATTTCTGATTTTAAAGGAGAAAAAAAGAAATTAAATAATGCAGAATAAAATATGTAATTGTGTAAGACATTGTAGAGTAGGCTACAGTGACATACACTTATCCTATAATCCTTTGTTTTTTTTTAGTTTTATATTTATTCTATATATAGAAAGTAAACTGCAATATATTAGCTGTTATCATGCAGCTGTTATTTCACATAGAGCAGAACATCATCAAGGATGGATCTGCATGCTTTTTTGCCCTTCCCTTATTCCTTCTCTTTCATAATGCTCTTTTTATTAGGCCTTGTGTCCAAAGGTACTCAAGAAAATGCAGCATTCAAATTCTGGATTTAGTTACTTTTGGAGAAGAGAAATGAAGCAATGTATGGGGCTAACAGTGACTGTTCAGATAAAGTAAACGATGGCTAATGACCTAATAAAAGAAGTAACCAAATAATATATGGCTTCAAGAAAGCATTGAACAGAAAGTATTGGATGATAATCTGAACATCATAGAGTAATAGAGGTATTATGACAGCGGATCCCTAAAATCCATGATCTCAAGTCTGTTGTGTCTGTTAAGTTATAGAAGACAAAACCATGGCTCAAAATTGAATAACCCAATTAGAACTGAGAAAATTGGAGCCGGGAAGAAGGCTCAGTAGAATAAGTGCTTCCCTGGCAAGTGTAAGAGCCTGAGTTCAATCCCTGGTTCCAGGGGAAAAATTTTATATATATATATATATATATATATATATATATATTGATGGCTAGGTACATACCCCTAATGTGACCTCTATTTTTGTAAATATGACAAATTTTGTGGTAAACTAAGGTGAAATGCCTTATTAACCAAATTATTGTAGTGTACATTATAAAGTGTATTTATTTATTTATTTATTTGGCAGCACTGGGGATTGAACTCAGGACTTTGTGCTTGCCAGGCAGGCACTTATTCTGCCGAGCTATCTCCCCAGCCCACGTGCAGTTTCTTAGAATTAGGCAATTTTTTCTTTAGTTTGAACATCAATAAATTACCACAATCCTGGCACAATCTGATATATACACCCTGAAATTTTCAGCTTATGTATTATTGATTAATTTACTGCAGACATTTTCGCACTTCAGTTGTCCATATTTTCCCCATTATAATGACTAAATCTCTCTTAAACAAACAATTATAATGCATGATTTGTTTTCAAGGAAGGCTTGGGCCATGGGAGCCACTGCAGCAATGTGAGGCTTCTACTCTGGACCTCTAGCACGCCCACTCAATGGCCCTGCTCCACAAATCATTTGCAGATCAACTGCAATGATGAGGCAAAGTTTTCTTCTTTAGCTTGACAATAGGCAGTCCATCACACAGACACCAGCAATTTAATGCTGTTCATATAGCCGACAGAATCATCAATTAGAATGTAATGCAGATACAGGTATTAACTCCTCAGTAAGGTGGATATCAGCTGACACACTTACTACTACCTTTGGATTCATTACACATAAATGAATTTTCAGAAAATTCCATCTTCTAGGCAACTACTATCTGGGTCAAAGACCAGTAAAGTCACTTTAAACAACAAAACCCAAAGTATTTGAGAAAAATTACTAAATCAATCAGCAGATGATAAAACATAGTGAAAGATTTTAATCGTTTACTTAGCAAATTGAAGTATGCATATTACATTATACATATTAAATATATGTACCCCTAAAATATATTTTATAGATACAGATCTAACTACATGTAAATGTAAAGGCAAACATTAAAATGTAATAGTTCTATTTCTTTAAATTTTTTTCTCTTATAGAAAATATTATAGGTCTGTTGAAAAAATCTAACATACAAATATAATTGGTTTATTGTTTTATTTCTTTTAAAATAAATACACAACAAACCACCAAAACCAAAACTGAGTAATAAGCTAGCAAACAAAGCTCAATTTTGAGGCAAGGTAAATTATTTCATGTGTTTCACAAAAATACAGCTATCTTTAAAATATCTATGCCTTATATGAGACAAGTAAAGGACACATCACATTTCTTTTTTATTAGAATTTTTAAATTCTCAAATAAACTGAAAATGTAAAAGAGAAATCATAGTTACTACTTACACAGTATCACATAATTATGTCACTGAAAATCCATACTTTCATAATATTGATACATAAATTCCACTTAATTTATATTGTCATGTAATTTTAAGGTTACTCCATGTAAGTGATTAAAAATAAACATGTAACAGATTTTAGGATTACTACATAAATCTTTCTCCTAAACAATGCACTTTGGTATGGATAAGATTAAAGAAACTTGAAACTCTTCTTTTCTAATGGAAATATTTATAATATCCTTACTTTCTATATTGTGACATTTGGTCTTTTAATAAATCCACTTTTTATTTAAAAGCACATTCTATATTCCCCATGTCTCCTAATGAAGTTATTCATGTCCTGGGCCACAGCTAAATTTTTTGAAAATTTTATGTATTAAGACATTTATCTTTTATATATACTTGTACCTCTATAAGTAAAACATCAGATACAAGTTGAGCTAAAAAGTATATTTTTAGAAAATACAGATCTAACTATAGATCAATAATAATGAAGTCATACCCATATGGAATATATTACTAGATTAAAAATAACTTGATGCTTCTGGATGCTATTTCACACATTCACACTGGCTAAAACTCAGTAAATTACATGGGATACAAGAATATAATTTAATAGACTTGGAATTTAATATATATGTAAAATACAATATCTTGCTGCTATAGATCTAGTCTAACATAGGGGTCAGCAAATAATTTAGATAATATTGAACAAAATCTTTATTTAATAAATGATATACCCTAAAGCCACTTAGAAGTATTATTGTAGCACTATTTGAATTTTTCTCAGTATTATTAGTTTAGAACTAAAGTACCCCCAAATGTCTCCTGTGTTCAGAAGCAAGCCTTTGGGGAAGTGACTGGATGACGGAACATTAAATCCTTCTGTGGCCTGATCCGCTGATGAGCTCACAGCAGATATTCTCCTGAAAGGCGCCGCCTGTTGGGAGCCGTGGCTCATTGGAGGCCTGGCCTGGGTGAAGCAGTTCTGGCCCCTGGCTTCTCCCTCCTCCGCTTCCCGGCTGCCACAGGTCCAGCAGTCCTGTTCTG